AATTTTTATATTAGAAAGCTTCTTTAAAAGCAAAAAGAAAGGCATTCCAAATAAGTCTTACGTTTCATTTGAATAACTTTCTTGCTTCTTTTTGAAGCAGCTTTTTAATACAATTTTTTTTTTGTTTAAGAAAATTTTATATGATAAATCAGCTTTAAAAAGCAGAATAAAAAGCCATCCCAAATAAAGCTTGAGGAATCCAATGAATTCTGCTTTGTGCCCTATTGACCTTAATTGGAGAATAATTCAGCCTCAGCTCTGACGTCAAACCAAATGATGCATGCATGGTTATCTTCTATGTCCTTAATTGGAGATAACATCCTAATTGTAATTTGAAATGGTAAATTATCAAACATATAATCTTCTTTTTTTTCCATATGTGACATTGAAAGCGATTTTTCAAAAGCTTTCAAACAGTTTTATAGTTTTGCCTCTCTGTCTAATGGTCGGACTAAGAACAAAAATATATGATAAGTAACAATCAAATTGACTAATAATAATGAAAAAATGTTGTCAAATAACTTGAAAAAATAATGTCAGAATTTCCAAGAAGTTTCTAACCATTTTTTACGAGTGATGTTAAGGATGTCATCCAGTCTATCCAGACCATTGGCCTTAGGGTGTTTGGTATTGGATTTGTCCGTCGTCTTTAGCGTAAATCTAGTCAAACGCAAATCGGCCTGCTGTAAATTCGGCAAATCCGTAATTCCTGGACTTACGGATTTACGATATAAATCCGGTAAACAACTTACAGTTGCGGAAGATCTTCCCGCGGCGCCCGTGTCACGATGTGTTGCCCGAGCTCTTTATCTACAAGGAGGAAGTCGCCGCTTCATCCTCATCGTGTGCCCTAGCCGCTCCCCTCAACATCCTGCAGGTACCCAGATCACTGAAATTTTTTTTTTTCCTTCCTCAGCGCGACAGAAACAGGAAAGAACGATAAAATTTAATTGTTCTTGATCTTGGCAAATCTATACATGGTTGTTCCGTGAAATCAATGTATGAATCTGATGAGTATGTGAGTGGTGCCCTGCTTGAATTTATATTATGGTGATTATTATGCTAAACTATCAGCTAGGTTCCGAAGATGGAAGTAATTACTGATGGGAATATTTGTTCTATGAAACTAGTTCAGGTTAGACATGGAAATTTACTTGCGGAACCTTAAAATAAATTTTTTTTTTTTCACACGAAAGCAGTCCTTTTTTATGCAGGATATTTAACAATTTATTACAATTTTTAGTTAAAGAAGAAAACATCCATGAAAGTTTAAGAAGGTAGTTTGGGAAATTAGTACATGACAGTTTTAGGTAAAATTTTTTTCAAAGAGCATAACGTTGAATTATATGTTAGATCGAATTTAAATCTTTGCTGAGATTTGAAAATTGTGGAAAGTATTGTACTAATTTGATTTACAAAAAGAATTAAATGTGAAGTTAATTAAGTGTTTTGATGATCCCATGTCATGTCAACGTGCAAATAATATATGCTCTTGTAATATAAATCTAGGTTTCGTCGATATGAATGTAGCATGTGTGAGTGACAATGAGTCATCAAACGCTATCTACCTACGTAAGACTAGTAAAAGTTAAGTTCTTAAAGGAAACTTAAAAAATAATGTACTTGTTTGCACAATTTTTAAAGTTTATTGAAATATTTCCTAGTTAATGTGTAACAGAAAATGCAGAAATTTCATTTTGTCATGTATTCTTTATGCTTTTAGTTGTTACTGTTGAATAATGTTATATTTGGTTTATTATTTGGCATACAGTTATCTCTAATTTATAACAGTTGTATTGAGGTGGCTTCATATTACTCCTTCAATTTTAAATCTCCAACTGTTTTAAATCCTGTAATCTATTGTCAAACAAACTTATCTGTATTTAACAGTATTTAAAATTTGTCATACCAAACAACTTTCAGGATTTATAAGCCTAAGATTTACTAAATCAAAAAAATCCGAATTTAATCATATTAAAATTGAATCCAATCCTATATACCAAACACCCCTAATATTGTCATTCCAAATGAGCTCCCATCATCAAATCTTCTTCCCTCATGGCATTGGTCTCGCCAACAAGCCCTCCCATGATGAAATCACTTTCATGTAGGAGTTTATCTAGTTCGCGAGCCCCAAGCTTCATCGACCCGCCCATTCCCATTCTCCATCGACCCGCCCATTCCCATTTTTCCAGCTCCAGACCAATAAGTCTCATTGCCAAAATCCTATGTCCGGTTTTAAGTTCGATTTTACCTTTTTTTTTTTGCCTTTAATAATAATTCACAGACACACAAAAGAAACTGCTAAATAATGATTTAAAATAAATTATCAGATATATTTCGTTAAACAAAAAGAAAAAGATATAATTCTATAGATTCTCATAATCTAGAACATAAATAAACTCAATTTTTTTTATATTCTTATAAATATAGAAAAATATTAATATATTAACATAAAATAGTTAATAGCCGATACCATTTATGGCCGCAATAATTTTATTAATCGGACACTGCCCGAGAAAAAAAAATAATTATGTTATATTTATATATTTTATTTTTTATAATCAACACCTGATTGCCCAAGTAGTCGCAAATTTAGAATTATCTAAGCACTGGGCTATTTGAACATCGCTCCACCGTGCCGTGGCCCTCACTTAGCCTCCTGGCTATTACAATTACAGGCAAATTTTTTTTTTTTTTTACATAAGTGGCAGTTTAATTTGCAAGAAAATATTAATATATATTTTAAATTATTGAATTAAGTATAAAATAAATTAATCATTTTTAATAAATACAATATATTATGAAATTTGGTGATTTATTAGTGAAGTTATCAACATCCATTCATACACACAATTAACTATGGTTACACGACAATACCAAGTCATAGCGTCTCCATAATTATAACGCTGGCAGAAATGGTGTAGAAGCCAAAAGCTTAAAATAGAGAATTGTATAATATATTTGAAAATTAATTAATATACAGATGATTTTTTAATTAATTCAAACATACCTATAAAATAAACCTATTAAAATAAAGTTTAAATTGTTTTTAGTAAATTAATATTATTATAATTAATATTCTGAATTACATTAAGAACTTTGAACGTGACATAATTTTTTTATTATTCATAATTATAAACTACGTATTTGTTTAATGCACTAATTAAACACCCAAACCAAACGCTTATAGTACACCTCTGCTCATTCTTTGGTCATATTGTGTGATGTTTAACCGGGTAGAGGCTACAAAGCAGTATAGTGCTGATTGCTGTATATCAAATTGATTGACATTCTATAAATTACATTGGATTTAGGCGTTGAAGGTCTGATATCTTCGGATGGAGAAAGGAGATAGCTTGGTGAGAACATCGCGTGAATGTTGATGATGGGGTTGAATCTGGCCGTGAAATGGCAGCGGCGCACGGCGGTGGGCCGGTGAAGGCGGTGGATTGGAGAAGATGACGTGTCAATAACGGGGTTAAGAAGGCCCGATGGGGAGGGTTGTTAAGGAAGCCGAAGGGAGAGTGACTGAGAAGGTGACGGAGCTGAAGCCGCCATGGAAAGGGGGACAACAGAGTGGTTGCTTCGTTGGATGCATTTAGAGGTCTCACATTGTTGTTGTTTCTCGCAGCTGCTTTCCTCTTTTTTTCGATTAAGATATTTATGATACATTTTAGGAAATTAATAGGTGAGGATATTCTGAATTTTAATTTTGATGGATAATATTTTTATAAATTTGATGACAAATTATTTGATTTTGATCTATCAGATAATTTCCAAGAATAATGAAGATATTTATTATGAATCTATTTAAAATTATATATAAATAATAATATAAATATAAATAATAAAAATTGCATATATTAACTTTTCAAGATCTTTCTGATGAAGATTAGTTGATTTAATTTATTTTCTATAATATTTATCAAATCGAAAGGTAAATTGATAAAATATTTAAAAATGCTTAAAATTTGAAGGCAAAGAAAAAAATTCAGAATTGAAAATTTAAATATTATCTAATTTTAAGTATTTCTTTTTAATATATTTTATTATTAGATTTTATTCTAATACAAAATATTTTTAAAATATTTTTCTTAAATAAAAAATGCTTAGCATGATTGATTTGATGTTAGTTTTTTTTTTTCTTAAGATTTTTGTATTGTTTAATTTGATTTTGAATGATTGAGACTTAAAATTAAATTATTACATTAAAATTGAGCGGACTATTTAGGGTCTATTTGAGGAGAGATTATTATGTGCGGAGTCCAGACTCTGGATGTAGTTTTTCATTCGGAGTCCAATCACATGAAGACAACTGTATTTTCTTTTCTCTAAAATTCAGGTGTCTTACGTGATTGGAGTCCGATGTCCATATCCATAATGTTATTTTTTCTATTTGAGATTTCTTTTTTTTTCTAGCTTTATTTTTCAAACTATAATTATAGTTAATGTTACTATTTTTCATTATTTCTAAAAAATTATATAATATGTAAGCTATTTTTTTATATAACTTTTCAAAAAATTTATTTTTCCTGGTAACATTTGATAATCATTTTTACAAAAATTACAGTCATCTCCAATAGATTCTTATACCATGCGGATAATTGATATTATAACATTCATAACTTCTAATTAAAGTTTTTTTTAATGAATATTTAAAAAAATTCCTTCACCAAAAATATGACTTAGATTTTATTTGGGAGAATTTATTTTGCTGTTTTAAAAAAAAAGAAATTAGCATAATTTTTTCAAAAAAATAGTAAAAAACATATGATTGAAAGCTGTCTCGAAATGATACTTTAATGGAGTGAAAATAGAGTAATATTCTTCAATACTATGCATCTATCTTTTCATGTAATGCTTAGAGATAATAGATAATACATTTATAAGGATTAGATAATTGCTGGCGTTAGAGATTTTAAAAAATCTTAAGAACAATAACATGAAAATATAGATATATACAACAAATTTTGAATTTGCGATTAAATTTTGTGAAAAATATTTCTTTTTCTATCCTCCGATTTGTAAAAGAAGAATATGAAAGAAATGAGATTTAAATCGATAAAATGTGAAAAATTCAGTTCATACATCTCAGTTTACAAATCATCATATTTTAAATATGTAATTTTGCTTAAAATTTTGCAGGTAATGATATTGGTGGATGATTCTGGAGGATCATATGAGCGAATTGATCACTCTCCATGGAATGGCTGCACACTTGCGGATTTCGTCATGCCCTTCTTTCTCTTCATTGTTGGTGTGTCAATCGCTCTTGCTTTTAAGGTTTGCAAATGCTCGTTTTTCTTTGAATTGCAAAATCCATCTGAAACTGTTGAAGCTTATCGCTTTTGTTTTTTGAATGGCTGGCAGAGGATTTCTAGGGTTCCTGATGCAATCAGAAAGATTGTCGTCAGAACAATCAAACTCCTCTTTTGGGGAATTCTACTTCAAGGTAAGGGATGTAATATGCAATCGGAAAACCTAATTCACCTTTCTTTGATGCTAGGGGAAAATATTGATTAATCGGTGCATTTGCTGCAATTGAAGGTGGCTACTCGCATGCCCCTGATGATCTCTCCTACGGAGTTGACATGAAAAAGATTCGCTGGTGTGGCATCCTCCAGGTTCTTTCTTTTGCTCCCATTCCTTATATTTTCCCCATTGCTGATGGATGGTTTCTTCTCGAAGTTTGATCTTTGGATTCCTCTTACAATTTATTGGTTGGTCAGAGAATAGCACTGGCGTACTTGGTGGTGGCTCTTGTTGAAGTCTTCACATTTAAGTCTCGCCCTAGGGAGCTTGGCTCAAATCCTTTTGCCATTTTTAGAGGATATAGATGGCAATGGTAATTAAAAACATTTTTTTTTGTAATTTTAAAGTTTTTACTGGTTCGATAGATTTAAAAATTTTATAGTACTCTTTTAAATCTTCTAATCTTGCAAACTCTTTTGTTATGTATTTTTTGTGAGATTCCAGAGTGATTTCAAAGCTAAGAGGCTGCTTGGTAGTAAGTAGGATTTATGTAAAATACGATTTAGGAGTGTTAAATCCTTAAAACTATTTGGTTGTCAATATCTTTATTTAGAGTTAAACCATGAAAAACAGTTTGAATGCAAGTAAGAGGATTTAGAAGATCTTTAAGTTTGACACCTCCAAATCCCTCGAATCCTTCTATGATTATGATTTACTAAATCCACAATGTAGAACAAATCCAGCTGCATCCTAAATTTATGAAATCTAGGATGTAAGAAAGCCTCATAGAACTATGTACTATATTTATCTTAAATCTTGCTAAATCTTGGATGAATTAATCCTGCAACCAAACAATACTTAAATACATTAACTAGTTTCTTGTCAGTTTTCTTCTCTTCCGTATTGTGAAATTAATGGGGAAAAAGAAGGTTTTTTCATGCTGTTATCTCTATATATTAAAAAAAAATTTGTTTACTTTATCTGAAAAACTCTATTTGTGGTGCTTATGTAATAAGAGATTTGATGGGTTGATTAGGTTGGCTGGTTTCATTGCATTTTCCATCTACATGTGTACAACATTTGGGCTTTATGTTCCAGACTGGAGCTTTGTTTATAATGCAGGAGATACAGATGGTGAAAAGAGGTTTACGGTATGTTTTATGACTTGCATTTACATGTTCTGAATCTAGGAACCACGTTTATTTACTGTTGCGTGAAAATAGAACTAATCTATTTGATGAATCATTTCAGGTCAAATGTGGCAAGAGAGGACAATTAGGTCCTGCTTGTAATGCGGTTGGCTATGTTGATAGAGAAGTCTGGGGTATAAACCATCTCTATTCAACGCCTGTATGGATACGATCAAAGGTAGATTTGTCACCCAGTAGACCTTTTTTCATGTACAAAAATTGAAGGCTGATTTTGCAAGGCATTATTTGCTTGCTTATTAATGGAATGTGCAGGCGTGTACTTATAGTTCACCAGCCTCAGGACCTCTTCGTGCTGATGCTCCACCTTGGTGCTTTGCTCCCTTTGAGCCTGAGGGCTTGTTGAGGTCAAACTAAATATATTTTTATATCTTAGAAAGATTTTTCCTTCTTGTTTTTTCCAACATTTGTTCTCATCTTCTCAACTAATAATTACTCAATTTGCTTCCCTTCTTTTATTTCAGTTCAATATCAGCAATCCTTTCAGCAACTATTGGTATCCATTATGGACATGTTCTGATTCATTATAAGGTAATATATCATGAAATCAAGAAATTTTCAGTTTACTAACAGAAGTGTTGGTTGCTAAATGGATGATGATCTTTCATTTGTATCATATACGATTTTCATTCTAAAATTTGGAATTAAAAACATGGGTGTCTATGTAATATGTGCAAATATATTCAAACTTAAATTATAATAAAACACATCTACTTTAGTTATAATCCAAAAACTCCTAGGACACTGAAACAATGTTTTAAATAAAAGCAAAATATAATAAAATTGAAATTATGTTGACTTAATATATCAACATTTTGTTCATCAAAATTAATTCTTTGCATGCTAAAATAAGTCTTGAAATTAGGATTTTTTACAACAACTCTAAAAAATATAAATGTGTTTGCAATTATTAAACAAATTTGAGTGAAAATTTTCAGTTAACCAACACTATGATAAGAATAGTTCTTTACTCTAGAAAATAATATTGAATGGATAGGTATATGGTTCATTGTTTATATTCTACATAGGTTCATTCCGAGAGGCTCAAGCATTGGATGCTGACGGCTATCGTTTTACTTATTTCTGGCTTATTGCTTCATTTCACAAATGGTATGAATGTTCTAGTTTTTGTCAGCATATTCTGAATGTTTTCTAGCTATTTTGTTTATATATAAGCATTTTATAGCTTGAAATACTTCTATATGTTCACCTTGCAGCCATTCCTATCAATAAGCAACTGTATAGCGTCAGTTATGTTTGTTTCACAGCTGGGGCAGCTGGAATAGTTTTGTCTTTCTTCTACTTGCTGGTTTGTCAAAACCTTTCATCCTTCAACTTTTTTAGATTGTTTTCAACTGATTTTTACTAATCATCTCAAAAAAGGATTTCTTTTGGGCTGATAATACACAAAAGTAATTTGATTTTATAATTTTTATATTCAGATTGATGTATATCATTTGGGAAAACCATTTCTGTTCCTTGAATATATCGGAATGAACTCAATGTTAATTTTTGTATTGGGGGCTTCAGCAATACTTCCAGCATTTGTAAACGGCTGGTATTATGAGAATCCAGGCAATACACTTGTAAGATATATATATGCAATCTCTTAATTATTCATTTAAACATCTTTGCAATTAATTTCTTTGTTGTAACTCCATCTTTTCATGACTGCATTTGCAGGTTTATTGGATTCAAAAGCATATCTTCATGAAAGTTTGGCACTATAAGAGAATTGGGACTCTTTTATATGTGATATTCGGTGAGATCCTCTTCTACGCAGTTCTAGCAGCCATCTGCCATAAACTTGGCTTCTACTGGAAGTTATAATTGTTTTGCAATTACCAATTATGCATATTATGAAATTTCAGATTTCTTTTCAATTACATGTTGTTAAGTGTAAACTTTAGTGAATGATAGTTTTATGGGAAATGATTGGATTGTCTATCATGATTCATTCAAATACTTGTACAAGTTTGTGATTGCAAATTTAAAAATCAATAACAATTTAAAAAATTATAAAATATTTTAATTTTTTAAACACTTCTGTAATAAAATATCTATGTGAGAAGTTCATTATTATATGTAACTAAAATTTTTTCACTATTTTTTGAAGTCTTGTGAGGCATTGATTATTAAGCATACCATAATGATATATATCAATGGGAATATATAAGCATGAAAGGAGAAGGAAGACTGGAATGCCAACAGATGTCTGTGTAATTGGATAATTTTTTTAATAGATTGAAATTGGAATAATACGCAGCAACATGTAATAAATTCTAGACCTTCTTATCCCTCAGGTTTTAATCAAAACAATTAACTAAATTGGGAATTCAACTTGTGTTAATTATGTACAAGTATAAATTTCTGAATAAACTTCTTTATTGTCTCCTGCCCTCTCCACTTTTTCTCATGGATTTTGTGTCATAAGAATGAAATATTTTAAAGAAAGCTACAAAATTTTGATTAAAAAAACTGCAAATGAGAAGAAAGTTGTATTTTGAATTTTATTAAATAATATCATAATCCATTGATCTCACTAATATTCTTATCTTTAATTAGTGTTGGCATTTAGGATATTCTAGTTAGAAATCCATCGATTATTTTTACTTTCTCATAACTCAAGTCAGTAGAAACTATCTTAATTCAGTTCCTTCATTTTTTTTTCCCTTTCCTTTTCATTTCCTCCCTTTCAATTACTTCATAAGCATAATCCTTCTAATTTCAGATAAAAAAATATATTCTATGTAAGTTTAATATTTTGAAATATATTGATAATCATGCTCTAAACCAATAATCTCATATTATAAAAAACAAGTATGATGAAAGTATCATATTATTCTATCTCATATACTTTTTTTCAAACTTGAATCAAAATCCTCAATTTTTTTTAATATTGAGCATGAAAAAAAATAGTGGCTACATTGCTTTACACTAATGGCAGTAAATAGTAAGCAATACACAAAGATAAAGAAAATGTCTCACTTGTATTTCCTATGTAAAAGAGCGCATATAAAGATTAAGAAAAGGTATTGTACTGTGTGTAGAAAAATGCTTTTGCTTTACAAGTGTAAGTTGGATATTCATTTGGTTGTTATAATCCTACGATGTAATTATGCTTGGTTGCTCCATGAGCTGTGATAAGTAGCAGTCGCTATTATCTTCCCTCAAATGCATGGTAATCGATGAATCGTGAGTTTGATGCGAAGCTGTTGAAATCTATGAGTTGGAAGATAATTTGTAGGAATGTCCACCGGCTGGTCCAGGGAAGAGACTGAGAATGAAGCAAGTTTGAACCTATTCTCTAATAAAGTGATATTCGAACTCAATGTGTTTAGTGCGAGTGTGAAATATATGATATTTGGCAAGTGCAAAGACAGAAATGTTGTTGTAGTGAAGAGTCTTGGGTTGTAAGATATCTATGTTGAAATCCTGTAGAAGCCGTTGTAGCCAGATGATGTCTGCAGCTACTGCGGCAAGAGCTCTATTTGGCTTCGGTGGAGGAACGATCCACGGTTGGTTTCTTCTTGACAATATATGAAATAAGGGTAGAGCCTAGAAAGGAATAGTGGCTTGTTGTAGATTGATAAGTAGAGGGGCCACTTGCCTAGTCTAAATCGGAGTATGAGTCTAATTGAAGTGGGCCATTGGTGATGGGCAGTCCATATGATACTTAGCCTTTGATGTAAAGAAGTAGGTGTTTGAACAGTTGAGAGTGTTCTAGTAGAGGATTATGCATTTGTTGGCATAGCTGATTTACTACATAAGCTATGTCAAGTTGAGTTATAGTAAGGTATTGAAGTGAGCCAGTGAGATGATGATATAATTATGGTAAGAATGAGGGTCTAGAGGGCTTGGAGGAGATCCAATGTTTGGCTAGTGTGGGATTAGAGTCATAATTGCAAGAGGTGAATCCTACTTTTATTGAGCATGAATAATATATAGGTATATTGGGATAGAAACATGAAGTTTGATTGGCAGTGAATTTGATTTCCAAGTAAATTAGATGAATAGCCAAGGCGTTTCATTGAGAAGGTGGAGTTGAGATTGTGAATGAGTTACTGAAGGTTTGTTGGATAGGTGCTAGAGAGAAGAACATCTTCAATGTAGATGATAAGGTAGATAAATTGTCTATGTGAGTTATAGATGGATACATAAGAATCAGCTTTATTTTGATGAAAACTGAGAGATATTAAATGAGTAGAAAATATATGAAACCATTGTTGAGGTGCCTGTTTTAGACAGTATATAGCTCTCTTGAGAAAACATACATGGTTTAGAAATTGTGGATCTTCAAAACCTTTGGGTTGAGACATATAATTGACGTATGGGTCATTATTTGTTGAGTTCAAGAGTGAGTAATACTCTAGTGGATGGCATTTTGGTAATTGAACTGAACATTTCATCATACTTTAATCCATCTTCTTGGTGGTTTCCTTGAGCAATAAGGTGAGCTTTATATTGTTGTATAGAGCAATGGGGATGAAGTTTGAGGCAACAGGTCCAACGACCGCCAAGAGGTTTAGGTGAGGATGGTTTTCAGACAAGTGTCCAAGTTCCCTTTTGCTGTATATCACAAAATTTTGTGGCCATGGCATTTTTCCAAACAGGATGCTTGAGGGTTTCAGAGAATGTTGTGTGTTTAGTTGTAGGTGATATTAATGAGAAGAGATTTAGAAGTTGGCATTGTTTTAGGTAATTGGTTTGGAACCTAGTGATCACATGATGGCAAGGAGAAGGACTGACAATAGTATTTGTGGAGGGAAATTTTGATTGGTTAAATGAACTGTTGGTGGAAGGGATCTAAAGTGTTTCAATTGTGGAATTGATGATTGATTGTGAAGGTGAGAAGCATGTAGCATTTGTGAATGAGAATATGTGGTTGGAGAGGAACTTGAAGTATAAGAAGGCGGGTGAGCAAGAATGGAATAGAGTTGGTTAAAGAAATGGGAAGGTGGATTCATCGAATTAAATGTTACAAGAGATGAAGATTTTGCTAGAGGACTAATCAAGATATTTGTACCCTTCGTGTGTGTCTGAGTAGCCTAGGAAGATGCAAAGAGTAGATTAAGGTTGTAGTATGTGACAAATAGAAGGAGGAAACCATGAGAAGCTTGCTCAACCAAAGGTGTGAAGGTGATTATAGGATGGTGGGTGATTGAATGGGAGTAGATATGGTGATTTGTGGTTGGTGACATGAGACGTCATATAGTTGATTGTGTACACTATAGTGAGAGATGCATTTGACTATAGATGGAATGGAAGATGGGCATCCTGAAGTAAGGTTCTTGTAGTTTCAATGATGTGGCGGTGCTTATGCTCAGCAAGGCCATTTTATTTAGGGGTATATGGGTAGCTAGGTTGGTGGAGAATGCCATGAGTTTGAAGAAACATTGTGAGAGAGTGATTAAGGAATTCAGTACCACAATCTGTATGAATACATTTTATTTGAGATGATAATTGTTTTTCAATGAGTTGTTTGAAGTTAATAAAAATGTTTGTAACTTTTGATTTGGCTCTTATAAGAAATAACCATGTATAGCTGGAGAAGTCATCAATAAGTAGTAAATAATATATATTATCTTATGAATATCACATTGGGGAGGGAACCCAAACTTTAGAATGTAAGAGTTCTAGAGGGGTACATTTGTGATTACTAGAAGGTAAGAAATACAGTTTGTGGCTCTTAGAGGCCATACATGAAAAGTAAGGAGATGGTTAAGCTGGAATGTAGAGGTCTTAATTGTATTTGGATCTGATTATTATGGTATGCGAATGTGGATGACTAAGAAATCAGTTCAAGTAGAGGTCAGGCGAGAGAGACATGATAAGTGCTTAGGGAGCAAACCATGGAGAAGGTTGCAGTGGTTGCAGTGAGTATATGCCATTATGGGCGGGTCCCTGATGAATGCAGTTGTGGTGCTGATCCAGAATTTCATAACTCGATGCTTCAAAGTAGATATAAAGATAATTATCATGAGTGAGATTATATATATATATATATATAACTTGATTTTGCATCGAAATTCGTGCCCGATTAAGATAATTTTTGCGACGTATCAATTATTATTATATATATACTTGTGACGAGTCAAAACGGGTTAATCGGAGCCATTGAAATTGAATTCAATTTGAGTTAATTTGATTTGATTTTGATTTGATTGGTGAGTTAATTTTGAGCTTAATGATGCATCAATTTGATCAAAAATAAATTAGATTGAGTTGATCGACATCAACGAATCATAAATTGAGCTTGATTTGAGTTCGTTTTGGAGTTGAATTGAAATTGGATTGAAATGATTTTGATTCGAATTGAGTGATAGGTTCGAGTCGATGCTACGTCATTAGGCGTCCACCTAAGGGAAATCCTATGGGTGCGACATCTACACTAGGCTACGAAAACCTAGGTACTAGAGTCGATTCCAGGAAAATTGACCTCGAATAATGAGGTCAACAAGGAGGATGCTAGCATTTCCTTGGGTGTGGAGATAACATGTGAAGGTGTGTAGTTGACATTTAAAATGATGTCAATAATTTGAAACAGAGTGGCCTCTCCTGTTGCAGATTTGGCATATATGAGGTGTTGAGGCTGGTTGGATGGGAGGAGAAGCTTGTAGTAAGGGGTTTTGTAAAAAGTGAGGATAAACATGAGATCCTCAACTACGATTTGTTTGGAGTGAACAAGATGGGTTATGAGAAATGTGAGCTTTGGTTGACTCACTGGATATATTAATCTCTTCACTGATAAGAATATAATAAAAGTAATCAAGGCTTATAGGTATGAGCTGGTTTCATATGGATGTTTTGAATGATTGATATAGTGGTGGGAAGAAAGTGAGGGTTGAACAACTACCAGATTTTGGTCAATGAGGAGCCACTGACAATGAGCAGGATTTATAATGGTGGTAAAATTTGGTTTGGAGATGTTAGGTGGTAGTATTAGG